CGGCGACGCCCGTCCTCATGCGCCTCGACCTGTCATCCACCCCCCTCCGCGCCGGGAAGGGCGAGGAAGAAGAAGGGCCAGGAATGGGGGGGTGGCGAGGGGGGCGGGGGCCAGGGGGGCCGCTCAAGTCAGATAGGGGGGGGGGGGGGGTGGGGGGGGGGGGGGGGGGGGTGGGTGGGGGGGGGGGGGGGGGGGGGGTGGGGGGGGGGGGGGGGGTGGGGGGGGGGGGGGGGGGGGGGGTGGGGGGTGGTGGGTGGGGGGGGGGTGGGGGGGGGGGGGTGGCTTCAAGCGTGTGTGGGGGGCTGACGAAGTGAGCAATGGGAGAACGATCCCTTGCGCGCTTTCGAAATGTCACCCCCCCCCCGCCGTCTGCCCGCGGGCTCGGGGAGATTCGTCGCGACGGCGTGGACGGGCACCGCGCGCGCCAGGCCACGCTGGCCGCGACGTCGCCCGCGCTATTCCTGGACCGCGGGGCGCGGGGGCGGCGCCAGGGCAGGGCGGGGGGGAGTTGGGGGGCCGGTGGGAAGCGCGGGCATGGGAAGGGCGAAGAGCAGGCGGATCTGGGCGGCAGGGCAAGCGAAGAGAAGGGCGGAGAGGAGGGGGGGGAGAATGACGCAGAGGACGGGAAGGGGGCCGGGAGAAGGATCAGGAGATGAGGAGGGCCGGAGGGAGGGGGGGGAGGAGTAGGAGGCGGGGGGCGGGATGAGGAGGCGGATGAGGGGGGGCCGGAGAAGACGCTGGACAAACGTAGAGGGCAGGGCGGTAGTCGCGAGTCAGAGCAGGGGGCGCGCGCGCGCCGCGAGGAGCAGAGTGCGTTCGTGGAGGACGAGCTCGCTCGGATCGCGTCGTTCGGCGCGTGCCCGATTATCCAGAAGAGTTACGACGCCACGCCGCAGAAGTTGTGGTTCGGCAAGCTGCAGGCGGGGGCCGCGGCGGGGGGAGATGTTGAGAGAGGCGAGGAGGATGAGCAGGTGGCGGAGGTGGATGCGGAGGGAGAGGGGGGGAATGGGGATCAGGAGGAGGAGGGGGGTATGAGGAGGAGAAGGATGAAGAAACGGTGGAGAGGAGGGGGGATGCGGGGGCAGGAGGGGGGCAGGATAAGGAGAACGCAGAGGAGCAGCAGATGGCGGGGGCCTTCTCGTGGCAGCGAGGCCCTTGGTGGGCCCTGACATAAGTTTCTTGGAAGCCCTCGGAAGTGGGGATCTTGGAAGTATAGGAATGCCGACGACGTGTGATGGCCACGCGCGCTGGCGTCGGTCGTGCCATGGCCATTTCATTGCAGCGCTGCGGCCTGCATCGCGCGGGGATCTCAGCGGCGTTGCGTTCGCTTTGCGTTCGACGAAGTTGCGCGGGCGTTTCGGTTTCGCTTCGAGCGATCTCAGCAGCCCCCATCTTGCCTCCACGATGTCCTCCTTCCCCTTCCTTACTATCACCGTGTTCTTGGCCAGACAGTTCGTCGCCCCCCCTTGGTCCGACCCGCCCCGTCCTCCCCGGCAGCGTCGCTCCTTCAGGGTCTTAGGGCGCGCGGCGCGCGCGCCCGCTGCGGCTCGGTGTGGGTGGCAGGACGAATTGCTTCCTCATGATCGCCACTGCTACCGCGACAAGGAGCTCGACAAGCGGGTGAGCGTTACTTTGGATCAGCATTTGAAGAAGTTCCCCAACGCTCGCCAGCAGCGGTGCGGCACAGTGCAGGTGCTGGCCCAGAGCTTGCGCGTGATGTACGCAGTGCCCAACATGGCGGAGTTGGGCGGCTTCCGCGCCATTGGCCGTCCGAGGGTGCTGTGGGGGTGGGGCGGCGGTGGCGGTGGTGGTGGGGGGGGGGGGGGGGGGGGGGGGGGGTGGGGGGGGGGGGGGGGGGGGCGGGGGGGCGGGCGCGGGTCGAGCGCGCGCTCCGCTCTGATGCAGCCCCCCATCCAAGCCCCGCTCTCCAGCGCCCGCCTCAGGGGGTTGAGGCCAGGGGATGGGGGTGGGAGGGTGGGGCGGGGAGGAGGCGGGGATGGCTGGGGGGGCGAGGGGGAGGGGGAGGGTGAGACATCGGCGGGGAGGGGGCCTTGAGTCTCGGAGGGCCCTTGAAGTCTTTGGCCGTGGAGAGCCATTGAGCGTCGCGACCGTTGCCCGCGCCCGTCTTGCCATCCCTTATCACTTATCCCTCCACCCTCTCGCACCCCTCACCGCCTCGCGCTGCCGCCGCCCGCCAGTCCTCCCCCCTCCCTCCCCGCGCCCGCGCAGGTGCTGCAGAACTGCGGGGCCAGCTGCATCTTCACTGCCACGGAGCAGGAGTTCCCGGGCGCGTCAGCTTCGGGAATCGAGAGTTTGTGCCGCAAGGTTCCGTTTGCGATTCTGAATGAAGTCCCAGATGCATGCAGTTCCAATCGCAGGAAGAAGGCGAAATCGGCGCAGCTCTCTCCTGCAAACTGCTTCGTTTGTCATAGCGACTGCTGCGCACATCAGTGCCACAGAGTAGTAGAACAGCGTGAGCGGCAAGTTATTGGAGATATCTTTGCAGTGTCGTCGACGTGCTCAAATGCTGGCTTCGCGAACCGCATGCAGAGCGCCCTCCAGACCGTGCTGCAATCGATCGTGGTTGTTGCTGGTCGGGAGGGGATGGGTTGGGGGTGGGTGGTCTGGGAAAGGCGGGTATTAGCAGTCCGGTCTGCGGTAGTGCTTGGCGGGCAGGAAGGGGCAGTCAGCGCGGCGCATTCCATCGCATCTATATGGCGCCTGGTCGTGGCGGCCCAGAGCGCCCGAGTGATGCGTGGGTCTCGGGGGTAGAGTTCCCTTCCTTTCCCCGCCTCCAACGCCGCCCTTCACATGGCTTTCCTTTCCACTTCGCTGGCCCAGGCCACCCCTCCCTCTCTTCTGGTCCGTCTCCAGACCCGACCTGGTGGCGTGGTTGGGGGGGGGGTCCGCCTCCTGCTGGCCAAGTGCGAGAGAATCGGCGCCTTCTTCAGCGAGCTCTCCATCGCCGTCCTGGTTCCATGGCTGTGAGCCACGAGGCGCTTGACAAGTTTGCAAGCATGTGGAATTGTGATTATGGGTCTCGCGTGATTACCCACCGCTGCGAGGGGCGTTGCGGGGCCCACGCAGATGGCGCCCCCCCCCAGCAGAACGTGTTTGCGGCAGCGGTGGAGATCGATCTCCTTCAGAGCAGGCGGGCAGGGGGCGCCCGCAGCGATGACTTGCAAGCGTCGGAGCAGGGAGCGGGGGTGGCGGAGGAGACAGATGGACGGCGGCACTGGGAGAGGGAGGGAGGGGGGGTGGGAGGGGGGGGGGGAGGGGAACCGATGCATCCAGACGTACACGCATAGTTAGCGGAAGAGGTGGCTCGTGAGGGGCGCAGGCATAGCGCAGACACAGTTTGAGATTAAGAGTTCGATACAGATAGGGAGAAAGAGAGATAGAGAGAGAGAGAGGGAGAGGGAGAGAGAGAGAGAGAGAGAGAGAAAAAAAAAGAGAGAGAAAGAGAGAGAGAGAGAGAGAGTGCGTGCGCCTGAAAGGACGCAAGAAACAGGGGGCAAATGAGCACACTGATGGAGGGCGAGAGAGAGAGGGAGAGAGAGAGAGAGAGAGAGAGAGAGAGAGAGAGAGAGAGAGAAATCGAGAGAGAGAGAGAGAGAGAGAGAGAAACAAGAACGTGCGCAAGAGGGGGGAGAATGGAGAGGAGGAGGGGGAGGAGTAGGAGGAGGCGAAAGAGAAAGCCAAGGCGAGGAGGAGGAGGAGGAGGAGGAGAAGGAAGGAAGCACGCCGCGTCAGAGTGTGAGCGAGCGCGTGAGTGAGTGACTGCGTGAGTAGGCGAGTGCGTGAGTGAGTGCGTGGGTGAGTGCCTGAGTGTGTGTGGGGGGGGGGGGGGGGGGGCAGGCTCATCGACGCGCCGTCGCTGGGCGACTGGGGGTCGCGCGGCCTCGCGTGCGGCAAGTATGCTATTGGTATCATGTGCCACGATGTTCTGCATCTGACGATAATGGTTGCATTTCCAACTTGGCCCAGCATGCAGCCTCAGCAGCAGCACGCCGGTGCCGGGGTTGATGAGGAGAGGAGGAAGGTCCAGAAGACAGCATGGAGGGCTAAGTGCGCTCTTAATGATGATGTCAGGCGGCTCAATGTATGTTTGACGTGCTACCTGGCCCCTCCCATCGAGCAGTTGCAGGCCGACCTTGTGCGCGGAGATGATCACGGAACAAAGATGTACGACATATCTTATCAAAACGATCAGAATCCTTTCCATGTGTGTCAGCGCGATTTGGCGCGATTGATGGGTGCTGGAATGGGCGATATCTGGGCTCCTGTATTTGCCTCTTTCCGCATGACCATGACAGCCAGAGAGATCTTTGATAGGACCAGGCACTAGGTTTGCAAATGGCCGCCCAGGTTTACTGTGGGTCTTGAGGTATCAGACATTTCCATTCCTGTTCGCATTGTGGGTGCACCCCCGTGCCACGCTCGGCGAGTCCGAGAACGTGCTTGCCAGATTCTACGGTCTCACCAGCCGGGAGTCGGATTTCTCCCAGAAGGTGTTCGATATGTATCCGACGCGAGAGAGGCTTGCTCGCCTCGGGGCCACCTCCAATCGTCGATCCCTCTTCGTCATGCCTTCTCCCCTTCGATAACTTCTCGACTTTCAATCGCTCGCCTCGGACCCATCGTCGCGTTCTGCCCCCAAGCCTGCTTTGGCCGCTCGCACCCTTGGACCCCCCCCCCCCCCCCCCCCCCCCCCCCCCCCCCTCACCTCCATCCCCCCGCAGCCGCCGCCGCCAGGCTGTCTCGCGCTGGCGAATTCAGGGAGGCGATCAAGGCCTGGATACGGCCCTTCTCTTTTACGAACATGTCCAGTGAGAGATTGCTCGCGCAGATCAGGAAGTCGTGCTTGGACGGTGTTGACGCCGAGCGGGCGTGCAGCTCTGGGTTCTCGACGCAAGTCCTTGCCGAGCATCGGGCGAGGGGGGCAGCAACCCGCGCGCGGTATCGAGAGACCAACTTCTCGAAGACGGCGTCGCACTCAGGTGCAGCAAGGCGGGGCAGCGCAGAGTCGCGACGCGGCCGCCTGGGTCTTTTGCGCAGTGGATGAAAGGTCAGGAAGCTCAGAGAGAACATAAGATGAAGAAGGGGGAGTACAGCGATTGGCGGGCCGCCAAATCCGAGGAGTTCCGAGAGTTGCCCCAGGAGTTGAAACAGTTAGCGGTAGAGAAGGCCGCCGACGCATTCGCGCAGAAGCGCCTGGTTCACTTGGACGACTCGCCTGAGCAGAACGCCGTCGACGCTGCCATTCAGGCTGAGCGAGACACCGTCTTGAGGACCGTGCTGTCCATCGTGGGCGATACGCGCTGCCCATTTCAGGCGGAGCGTTTTTTTCTAGCTTGCAGCGATGCACAGTGTGATGTCGCACGTGCGTTGCTCGAAGGGTAATGCTCACCCGTCGTGGTGCCCCATATTTGCATGTTCGGTTTGTCTGATCGCATGTGCCTGCCGAGGGGAGCTCGTCGGGACTCGTCGGTGAACTCTCAGTGCCTACTGCAAATAGCATGGCGCGCTGCGTCCACGCGTGGCTCTGCCTGCTTAGCAATGCCGTTGCGATGACATCCTTTCGCTTCTCTTGCCACCGCCTGCGCTCTCTAGCGCCGCTGCCCGCTGCCTCGCGCGCAGGCGGACTTCTTCATCAATCGGGTCTGCTCCGAGCTGGGGCTGAACCGGGCAGGGCTGGGGGCGCTGCCAGGTTTCTTCAGGTGCGAGGAGAAGCTCCGGAGGACGCAGCTTGACCAGCTATTCACTAGAGACGAAGGACCTCTCAGCTTTCTAATTTATCTCATCGGCTTGCGCTTTTCCGCCGAACCCAGCCCTTGGGGTCATGTCCAGGCTTGGCGCACCCCCCCAACCTCCGAACCTCTGCCCCTCTGCCAAATTGGTCCCAAGCGCATGCTTTCTTTTGCACCCCCCCAGGAGCAATCGGTAAAGGCGAGAAATTCACTTACGATTTGCCGTGCCCCGTGGCGCATCCTGGGCTGTGCGCGACCGCCCACGCGCGGTGCATGGCAGCTGTGATTCTGCGTGCCAAAGAGCTGCATAGGTACATGTCTAAGAAGGACCTGGGCAGTTTTCATTACTTGAGATGTTCCAGCGACAACGGCTGGGAGGCTGGCGTGCGGTGTGCAGGATCTCACGTCCACGGGGGCCCGAGGATGGCGGTCGTGGCGACCTGCCATATTGAGCGGGATTGCGTTTTGACGATCGATCGTTTCGACGCGGGGTGTTCTTTCGCAGTCGACAAGTCGTTCACCGGGAGGTTGTTGGTGGCAGCGGGCCAGGACAACATGATCACGAAAGTGCGCATATCGCACGCGGCCGTGGATGATGCAACCGCCCCGGTGTCAGCAGCATCAGTCCTCTTGAGGCGGGGGTGGTTCGCCGAGCAGATCTCCAGAGAGGTTTGGTCGTTGCCAGCACCAGAGAAACCGCGGGAGGACAAGGGCCCCTTGGACCGCATGGCAAAAACAATGAAGGCTGGGCTGAAGCACTTACCGAAACCTGATGAGAAGCGCATGCCCGCGAAAATGACTGGCAGCGGCGTCGGAGTTCGCCTGCCTGTGGCATTGGCGGAGCGGGCTGGCGCAGTCGTGGCCCTCGAGTCGTCGTCCGACGCCTGGAGCGAGGAGGAGGAGGAGGACTGGCCCGCGGTCGGCAGACAGCACCGCCCCAGCAGCAGCAGCGGCTCCAGCGATGACGCCCCGCCGCCGCCGCCACTTCCACATGGCCTGGGCGCAGGAGGGGAGCGCGGGCATGTTGTTGGGCTGGTTGTTCTCGTGATGTTTGTCGCTATGAGCGCGCGCTCGATCATCGCGCGAATGCCATGTGATGTCGCGCGCGTTCGCGCTCGCGCTTGCACGTTCGTCGCGGCCAGCCACGACCCCAGATGGTGGGCAAGCCGTCGCAGAAGTGCTGGGGGCAATCAGCTTGGCAAGCGGGCAGTCGTAGGATAGGGGAGGCCGCGGAAAGTGGGTGGGAAGGAGGGGGGGGGATCAGACGCGAGGAGGTGCGCGGGGACGGTGCCTTCTCAGTCGAATCCCTTCACCGCATCGCCGTCGCCCCCGCCTTCGGATCTCTCTCTCCCTCGCTCCCAGGCCGCCGCCCCGCCTGCCTGCGCCCCCCCTTCGCCCGATCGATCGACCCTGGTCTTTCCCAGTTTTGCTGTCGTCGTCGTCGTGCTCTCCTTCCCAGTTTTGCTGTCGTGGCTGCTGATTCCCCTCTCCCTCCTCCGTCTCCTCCTTCTCCTTGTCCTCTCCCGCATCTTCGTCCTCTTCAGCTCCTCCTGTCCGAGCCCGCCCTTCATGGAAGTTGTCCGCGTCGTTTCAAAGGGGCAGGGGAGGCGTTGCAGATGCTGGCGCTCCTGCGCCAGCTGCTGGCGGCGCGGCAGCGGGCGGGGGCGCCGCCGCAGGGAGGCAGAACCGGTTGCAGCCTTTTGGACCTTGGTCGATATCGGAGGTCTGGGATAATGACACGTTCGTTGGCTACGGTGCTAACTGTTACAGTCACCACAACAGTTGGGAGAAGAACGCTTGCAAACGATCATTTCGTTGGGCTGGGTTTACCCAGGAGCAGACCCGGTGCCAAGCGAAGCAATGGTTATTAAGGGGGGGTCCAATTCGCTCTCAGCTTCGAAATGGCAAATTGAAACATCTCACGGAGATCAAGAGGGCCGAAATTCCACTGCTCCCAGAGGCAGAACTCGACGCGCGGGCAGCAGCGATGGTTTAGGGGTCGAGTATTGTTCAGCATGAGCAATGTCGAGCGTCGTTGCCGCGCCCGTGCGAGGCGCGACCTGTGCCAGCTGATCGCTTCCAGTCATCTTGACAGCCAGTGATGCGTTGCCTGGCCGCACGAAGAGAATCATCGCCTGTTGTTCCCCCACCCCTCCCCGCGACCTGCGGCCCATGACCCATGGCCCCGCCGTCGATCAGTTTCGAATGGTAGGCCGGCCTTGTAAGAACAAGAGTATCCAGAGAGCTGATGCGCATGCGGCGTTGTTTCTCATTGCCCGCGTCTGGCTGAGACTTCTGAATCCGTTGGGGCGTCTGGTCCAGATCAGGATGGCCTCGAGGTGTTGTAAATTCTTTAGGATGTTGCTCTGAACTCTCTGGAGTGCCTCGTCGACCTTAGCGTTCCCCCTAGAGGAGGCGCGAAGCCGCCTTCATGCAGCTAGAAGTGCAGCGTAATCTGACGGACCAGCGAAAGAGGGGTTTGGCAATGGGAGGATGGGTTCTGCGCAGACGTCGATTGTCAGACACAACGACGTCTGCGCGAAACAACATCGGTGAGGGGTAGGGGGTTTGGGGGGGAGGGAGGCAGAAAAGGGGGAACTGGCCGGGACGATGGGGGGGATAACGAATGATATTTTAAAGCCAGCGCTATTCGTGCGAGCCAGTGATCAGTCTCATGGGCCCATGGAGGCCGCGCGATGCGGACGTTGTCCGCCGTTCTAGCGCGGATCATCATATGAGAATGCGTTTGTTGTTGTGTGATATCGGGCGTGTCTGGCTCCAGGCAAAACTAACACCCCAGGGAATCATCGCCCGCGGGGTTTTCGAGAAGACCCCAGCGCGGTCTGGATTTGGATATCCTCAAGCCGAGCCCCCCGCTTGCTGCCTCCACCCCCGTCGTCGTAGTCGCCGCCGTCGTCGTCGTTATTGTTGCACTCGTCTCCTCCACGCTCTACTCGTCGACTTGGCCCCGACCCATCTGCTCCGTAATGGCAGCTGGCGAGGCCGCCAGGGCAGGGGCCAGCGCGCCATGGGCTTCGGGTAGGGGCCAGGACGTTTTCGGCGTCAGTTTGCGGCGTCAGGTCTTTGAGGGGGGTTAGCGGGCGGGGGTTGTCGCTTCCTGCGTCGGCGCGTTCTCAGCCGCTCCGCGCTCACCCGCCCTCAGCACCGCGTCTTGGTCCAGGCGAGGCGCCCCCCGGCAGCCCGAGAGAGAACGCCTCTCATGCCACTTGCGCGCGGCAGAGCGCTGACGCCCGCGGCGGCCGCGGGGTCCAAGCGCATCAGCGACACGTTGGGGAACCCCACGTTGACCAGCCAGCGGCCCGCCCCCAGCGAAGAGGAACGCGGCGTCGACGGGCAAGACGGCAGAGACCGCAAGGTACATCGGTCTGCAACATCAGGCCAGCTCTTTGACCAGCTCGTCGCGGCCGCATTCGGAGGAGAGGCGGATGCTGCCGAGCCCGCCGCTGGCTCCGCAGGCGCGCCAGCTTCGGGCGCGGCGCCGCCAGCGGACACTGCTGTCAGTTCAACGGGACGCGGCAGTGGCAGTAAGAAGGGCGCAGGCGCGCCGGCTTCGGGCGCGGCGCCGCCAGCGGGCACTGCCGTCAGTTCAACGGGGCGCGGCAGTAGCAGTAAGAAGGGCGCACCACAGCAGAAAGACAGGCCGCAGCGACAGGGCGCCGTCGGGAGGTCCGAGAAGGCTCGGCAGGGTTCACAGAAAGGAACCCCATCAGGACAGAAAGGAGCTGCAGCGGCGTCAGCGCCCGCGGCTGCTGAGGGCGCCGATCGGGGCGGGGTGGCAGCCGCGGAGCCAGGCAGCCAAGATGGCATCGTCCTGCGCGGGGGGAGCAGCGGCGCAATCGGCGGAGGGTCTGGGCTTGGAACAGCAGAGCCAGGCGTCGGCCGAAGGCTGCTTCAAGGGCACGCCTGCCGCGGCACCGCCCCCGCCGCCGCAGCTGGACTTGAGCTCCCCTCCAGCAGTTCCTGGCTGCGACCCCCCCTCCCTCGACTCAACTCACGGCGCCGCCTCAGCAGCCGACCCCCCGAAGGAGGATGCAGCTTCAGCCGCGCCTGTCGCTGCTGAGGGTGCGCGCGGCAGCCAGGGGGAGAGGCCTGAGGTGCTGCGTGAGTCAGACAGCTCCAGCCAGTGCTTCATTGCTGGCGCAGGCCCTCACTGGCGCAGAGGGGAGAGGGGCAGGGGGACAGACGGAGGAGGATGTGAAGGGAGGATATGATAAGGGCAGTGGCAGTGGCGGATGACTAGGAGGGGCGGGTGGCGATGTGGAGGTGGCGGCGGATGACGATGCGGAGACGGAGGAGGAGTTGGACGGCGATTACGAGGGGCTTTGGCTGGAGGCATTCGCCATGCAATGGCGCTGGTTGACCCCCCCTCCCCTTTAATCCCCTCCCGCGCGTTGCCCCCCCCCCCCCCCCCCCCCCCCCCCCCCCCCCCCCCCCCCCCCCTCTCACAGAGAGCGCGAGAGAGGAGGAGAGAGAGAGAGAGAGAGAGAGAGAGATGAGAGAGAGAGAGAGAGAGAGAGAGAGAGGAGAGAGATGAGAGAGAGAGAGAGAGAGAGAGAGAGAGAG